AAAACCCAACCAATGACATTTGTCGGAAACGTGTCGATGCAGGCCCAGCCGCTCCAAGAGTCAGTGTGCCATTGTTTACAAGCTGTTGCGGTCAGTTTCCATGTTTGCCTCCCATATATTTTGGATTAATCCACTGTTTCTAGTGCTTGTAACTGCTAAATAAGCCACATGGGCCCCAAGAAAGCTTCTAGAGCCAGCCCTTTGGTAAAGGATGTGAGAAACACGATAAAATTCAAGAAAAAGTTTGTAGAAAAATACGAAAGTGGTAGTGGTGGTGGTAGAGGGTGGTGCTGGTTGTGATGGCAGTAAGGGGTGGTAGAGGGTGGTAGTGATGGTGGTAGAGGGTGGTAGTGATGGTGGTAGAGGGTGGAAGTGATGGTGGTAGAGGGTGGTCCAGTGATTCTCAAGCTGGTCCTAGTGGCATTAAAAAATCAAGAAGAGAGATAACCCCACCAAAGGACTTGGTACCTGAAGTCTTTATGGAAGGGGATTCTCCTTCCAAGCAATAGACAATCCTGAATCTCCCCTGCTGCTGGCACATCACTCCCATTCCTTTCTATATAAGGAAATGTATATTTCATGTAAATTTTTTTTTTCAGACTTTGGGGTGTCAGGAACGGATTAATTCTATTTCCATTATTTCTTATGGGGAAAATTAACTCGACCAACAGCAATTTCGACCAATGGCAAGCCCTCTGGAACGGACTAATGCAGTTGGTTGAGGGTCCACTGTACATCACTAAGTGAGGAGAGGCTGTACTTACTAATCTAATATAGAAGTCCAAACAAATGTATTATTTAAACAGATTTAATGAAGAGGCAATATGAAAAAGACTGGAAAACTCTCTGAAATTTTGGGCACTAGAAAACTTAGCGAAACCAGACGAACCACACATACAGCCTATACACACTGCCAGTAAACTTAATGTCTTCTTTTCTACTATAGGATCAAAACTAGCAAGCAAAATCCCAAACAAATACTCAGCCACAAGACTACCTCCCTGGTAATTGCCCACATACTCTATATAGCACCAACAAATCCTAATGAAGTCTCACTAATAATTAAATCATTAAAAAACAAGGCAGGAGACCTAAATAATTTGTCACCAATCATGTATAAAAAAGCAGCTCATGTGCTGACCACCATTATTACAACACTATTTAACAAATCTGTTGAATCTTCGACATTCCCATCCAGACTCAAGACAGCAAGGGTCACCCCGATCCTCAAAGGAGGTGATCTTACAGAATTAAATAACTACAGATCAACATCTAACCTGCCTTTGCTCTCTAAAATCTTCGAAAAAATAATACATAACCAAATCCACTCCTACCTCCTATCCCATAACATACTGAACCCCTGCCAGTTTGGGTTTAGGCCGAAAAAAAGCACGAACGATGCATTTATTCAGATGCTCAAATTACTATATACAGCACTTGAAAAAATGAATATCCTCTGGAGCTCTTCATAGTCATACTATGGAAAGCATTTGATACAGTAGACCACAATATCTTGCACCTAAAACTAGAGCATTACAGGGTCAGAGGACACTCAGTTACCTAAAATCTTATCTTACTGGTAGGCACCAGTATCTATACACAATTGGTGTGACCTCAAATACTCAGCCTGTAGTTGTTGAAGTGCCACAGGGAAGTGTCCTAGGTCCTCTACTTTCTTATTTACATCAATGACCTCCCAAATGCATCGCAACTCCTTAAACCAATTCTATTCGCAGGTGACACCACTTATGTCTTCTCCCACCCAAACCTGGCTATACAGTGGACCCCCGGTTAACAAACTTTTTTCATTCCAGTAGTATGTTCAGGTGCCAGTACTGACCGAATTTTTTCCCATAAGGAATATTGTGAAGTAGATTAGTCCATTTCAGACCCCCAAACATACACGTACAAACGCACTTACATAAATACACTTACATAATTGGTCGCATTTGGAGGTGATCGTTAAGCGGGGGTCCACTGTACTTGGTAACACTGTAAACAGCAAGCTACATAAAATATCAAACTGGATGATGACCAATAAACTTACTCTCAATATAGACAAAACCTGGTGGCTAAAGCTCTTGCTTCACACACGGAGGGCCCAGGTTCGAATCCTGGCGGGGTGGAAACATTTTGACGTGTTTCCTTACACCTGTTGTCCTGTTCACCTAGCAGCAAGTAGGTACCTGGGTGTTAGTCAACTGATGTGGGTCACATCCTGGGGGACAAGATTGAGGACCATAATGGAAATAAGACAAACAGTCCTTGATGACGCACTGACTTTCTTGGGTTATCCTGGGTGGCTAACCCTCCAGGGTTAAAAATCTGAACAAAATCTTATCTTCATGCTTTTTGGAAACAGAGCATTAAATATCCAGCTAAACATATCAATAAATGGTTCACCCATTACAAGACACACTGAGGGCAAATTTTTAGATCTCCACCTTGACTGTAATCTTAAATTTCAGACCCACATCCAGCATATAGCTAAGGAAGTTTCCTAAACAGTAGGCATCCTTTCCAAGATACGATACTATGTACCCCAAAGGGCGCTCCTTACTTTATATCACTCTAATATACCCTTACCTCACCTATGGTATTTGTGTGCTTGGGGATCTACCACAGCCAATCACCTTAAACCTTTAATAACCCAACAAAAAGTGGCAGTGTGAATGATCACAAACTCCTGTGCCAGACAACACACCCCACCACTCTTCAAAAGCTTGAACTTACTTAATATACAAAATATACACACTTATTATTGTGCCTACTATATATACAAAACTTTAACCCTTTGACTGTCGCAAGCCCCTTTCTGAAACTGTCATTCTATGTCGCAAATTTTTTGGAAAAGAATGATTTTTTTCTTATGAAATGATAGAGAATCTTTTCCCGATGGTAATGACACCAAAAGTATGAAATTTGGTCAAAAACTCACGGAATTACGCTCCCGCGAAGTTAGCGATCTTGGCGACATACACGCATCAGCGATTTTGCCCACTTTGAGCCCTGTTTTTGGCCAATTCCATTGTTCCAGTTGACCAAACTCTTAGCTATTTCTTTAGAACTCCATTTTTTCTATCAGTTGAGTACAAGAAACCGCCCATTTACCGATTTGAACTACCTAATAAAGTGGTCAGAAATTGGCAATTTGGCCAATTTCACACAAATTAAAAAAGATGCAATTTCAAAATAGGGTCCAGAATAAACAATGTAGACATTCTTGGCACTAAAATAACATATCCTCTGTTCATTAGTCACGTCTCTAGCCCCTCTTGCATTACTATTGCTTTCTATTTTGATTTTTTATTCATACAAAAAATACTCCCCAGTTGATGTGTGGTGTGATTTGCTTACTCCTGAACATTGGTAAAAATCAAACATTTCTGCTACTTTGAGCTCAATTTCATTGTGAAACTAATCAAAGTCATCTATATTTCTGTAATATGTTTTCCATTTTATCATGTGAGACCATGAAAACTAGAATACAATGATAAATACTATACGAAAATACACCTCAAAGTCAGCATTTTAATCCAAAAAAATGGTCAGTTTTTTTTTCCCATTATGCACTGCATGCTGCAGGATTTTTTTATGTGATGCACACTGACCACACAGACCCATTCTCTCACATGTGGGCCTACCAGCTTTCTCCTGCTCGATTTGAAACCGCTAGAATTTATGCGTATTAATACATGTATGTCTGAAACACTGGGTCGTAAGACCTATATATACTACCAAAACAGTCAAAGGGTTAAACTCCAATATCAACCCTCCACTCAAACTTCTCCTAGACAGCTTCAACAGAATACATAGGCATGACACGAAGCACAAAACACTTTTTGACATCCCTCGTGTCCGTCTCACACCATGCAAAAATGCAATGCACAGAAAGGACCCAAATGCCTGAAACAGCAAGAGGTCCCCTGTCCACAAATCAATATAGGACTATACTCAAAAATCACCTCATCTCTCAATAACAACCATACCCACACTATGCTAAACTCTAACCAAATTTAAAGCAACTCTCTCAAATATTTTATTATCCCTTAACCCTTGTTGACACTGGAATGATGAATGCATACAATATGTTCCAGATGAAGACTGGTAACTGACCACCATATGCCCAATGCCTGCACAACACACGTGTCATGGTACTGATCACTAAATACCCTCTTGTTTGAAGTATGGTGATCACTTTCTAACTGCATTTCCTGTTACAGACAAGAAGAAATGGTTTCAAAACAGATGTAATGTCTGTGCACACTAGTCTAGGTGCTCAATATAGTGCAGGGAAATCAATTTTGTGTGTAGGGAATGTAAAACACTGACGTGTATTAGCCGTGTTTCAGGAACTTCCACAGACTGCCATAGTTCTAGGAACATAGTCAGTGCCTGTATATATTCAGTATATTCACAAATGAGCAATAACAGATGCAAAACAACTGCTAATGGACATCTAAAATTATAATGGACTTCCTCCTTGAGGTCATATACCATTGCCAGCTGACAGGAAGCTAGTAGAATATATAGTTATAGATGTTTTAAATATAGGAGGGACCCATTTTTACAGCTGCTAAGTTTCCAACCCATAGTGATAAGCAAAAATTACCAGTTTGTGGAAAAAAGTTTTTTCAACATAGAATGCATCTAAAATGCATGATAATGTATTTATACTATCATATATTCAGTGATTAATACAAGTAGGCATAAAAAAAAGATACAAAAGTAAAATAAATACATAGTACATACAATACTTACCTTAAAATATGGCACTGCGTGTCCTTCCCTTACTCAGATTTTGTGAAAAAACAATGGAAAAGCAGAGAGCACAAAACATAATGCATAAAATCTCATTTAAAAACCATCAAAAACATGGAACACCAAAAAGGTGCCAAATACACGTGGCCTTCCTGTACCTTCAATGCCTTGTCTTCTAGTCCACAAACATGGTTAGTAAATTATTATACCACTAATCTTCACTTTTTCCTTCTTTTCAGTGCTGCTGTTGCCCGTGGTCACTGTACCCATACTATGAATGGCCACTTTACATTAATATTGGCAGAAGTCATCGTTGGCATGGTGGTTCAAGGTTCACCGTCCCTCACCCGCCCTCCAGCCAGGTCTTCCAGCACACTGTATGACACAACAGTGGATAATGTGAATGCTCCAGTAATCTTTGTCAAATATGATAAAGAAGAGTACTACCCAGAGTACATTATTAACTTAAGAGAGACTTTCTTCAATTTAAATTGAAAGAAAGCCTTACAAGAATGTATAGACAGTACAAGAGTGTACAAACTGTACAAGTGTTGTATTTTAAAACGAAACTTTGGCCTGTCAGTTGTACATATCATGCAAGCAAATCTTTGTGCAGTTTAAAAGCTCTTTACAAAAAGTGTGGTAGAACATTAGATTGGCTTAAAAGAAGTTAGTGAGTGTTACAACCAGTAAAATAAAACACTTCTACAATAAAGTACTGAAGATGGGACACCACCAGCTTAGATTCTCTCTTAAAGCTTCCTATAGGTAACCAAAAATTTTGTCACAGTACAGTAGTATATACAATATTAGACACGACAGCTTTTTTTATTAGTTTATCATTTCTATGCATGTTTCCTTACACCTGCTGTCCCTCTTCACCTAGCGGTAAGTAGGTGTCTGGGTGTTAGTCAACTGATATGGGTGGCATACTGGGGGATGGTTGTATTCCTTAGATAGGACTTGACTTTGAAATGAGCTGAGGTAGGATAACAGTCTTAGCATATAAAATTGACTTGTGTAAAGATTTTTTTTTTTTTGGGTGGGGGGTGGATAAAATGGTATTTTTGCTGGTTAATATTTTACAAACAAAACTACTAGTAAAAACAGTTATTTTGTGTATCAGAAATCATTTTCTTTTTTAAGACTGAGATGTAAATAAACAAGTTATATTTTACAATCATCCACTTAGCCTGGTAAATAACAGAGACATCAGCTCCAGACTGAAAATCAAGATTTTAGATAATAATATCCAGAAAATTTGGATAACATGAGTGGCTATGTGTGCTAAGAAGCCAAGCAATCATTTTATAAATATTTTTAATCATAATAGTACTTTAAGCTTTCACTGAATTTCTATTGCACTGATCAATTGAAGATTATTTATTTGACAATTAATATAAAATACCACAATGAAAATAGGAGAAACACCTGAGTGCTTTCATGTGCTTACACATCTTCATATCTTCCTCTGAAGATGTGTGTGTGTGTAAGCATATGAAAGTGCTCATGTGTTTTTCCTATTTTTGTTGATATATCTGCAATCACATGTTTATTATGATTTCCTCCTTGACAATATTATTGTTCTGTATAAAATAACTAATACAGGAGTCCCTCACTTTATGCAATAGATGCATTTCTGGCTGATGGTGCATAAGTGAAATCACATATATTGAACACATTATAACATGTAAAAGATAGGGATTTGGTCTCAGACTTTGCAGATTCCACATATTTTTTTCCATTAGTTACTTAGTTTCAATAGAAATAGAACAAGGTGAGTAATTAATTTTTTTATGGGAGCTGGAGGAAGACTGAAAGAACAGGGATAAAGTTGGATGAGCTGGTTTTGTTTGATATAGCATATTGCTGGTTTAGTTACATTATTGAGATGGTGATTTTTAACAATAGCTCTAAATCGATTGGCAGCCTGGTGACCTTTCAGTGTTTCAGGCAATGAATTCCAGATCCTAGGGCCTTTTATGCACGCTGAATTTTTGCATAGGGTGATTTGGAAACGGGGAATGTCGAAGAGAGTTCTGTGTCTTGTGTTACGGTTGTGTGTTTTTTGCAACTATCAAGGAAAACTTTCAGAGGGTTTATAATGGAGTTTAATGTTCTATATATATAATAAGCACAGTAATATGAGTGAATATTTTGTATATTAAGTAAGTTCAGGCTCTTGAAGAGCAAGGGGTTGTGTTGTCTGGCACAGGAATGGGCGACAGTCTGCACAGCAGTTTTTTGTTGGGTTATTAATTGTTTAAGATGATTTGGTTTAGCAGATCCCTAGGCACAATTACCATGGGTGAGGTAAGGATAGATTAGAGAGTGGTATAGTTTAATGTATGTTTAATCTTAAGTCTGTTAATAAAGGGGATATAAATAAGGTCTTGAGGATATTCTCAAGAGAGAACCCACAGTATGGATTCAAATTAGAAAAGTTTAGATTTAGAAAGGATATAGGAAGTATTGGTTTGGAAATAGGGTAGTTGATGAGTGGACAGTTACTAGTTGGGTTTTTGGGCAAAAAACTTGGGGTAGTTCCAAATTTAGGTTGGATAAATACATGAGTGAGAGGGATTGGATTTGAGTGGGACTTGCATATGAGTGGATTGAGTTATCAGAGTTTATTTCTTGGGTGACATTGAAAATTGGGTTGGGCAAATATTTTGTTAGTGGGATGGATTGTAAAGGACTTGCCTATTATGCACCAACAGGCCTGCTGCAGTGTTCCTCCTTTCTTATGTTCAAAATGCACTGCATAACTATGGGCTTTTACATGCATTATACAATACCATGTAATATGTACCACATATTACTCTAAGGTCAAAACATTTAAAGATCTTCTAGTTAATTTTGGGCACAAGGTTAGTACTAGATTTAATATTTTATAGTGTTAGACTCTGTCCCAATTCAATGTATATTGCTAAATTTAGTGACTCGTAGGGGAAAACCACATTCAAGGGGGAAACTAAGTGAAACTGCCAACAGTGTCATCATGGGCTGTTTTAACAAAGGGAGGGAGGGAGATTGCATTCAGAAAGTGACTGACGATGTTCACTGGAAAAGGGCCGAAACTATCAGCATTTGGTCACTGCTGCTGCAACTGTGTAAGTGTCAACCATGACCTGCCAGATACACCTGGGGTAGGCAATAAGTTTTAATGATGAGCTACATCACCAGCCCATCTTGCTTAAGTAAATTTATTTAAGTATGTTACACATAAGTACAAATATTATAAGTAGTAACACATACAGAACAACCACTCTGAAGAGAATAGTGAACTTCCAAGCAGATTATCATGGATAAAAGTTCCTTGATAATGTGAGAATCATGAAAGCATTTGGAAGTTCCTATTCTTTTCACAGTGGTTCTGCATCTGTATTCTTATTGCATAGTAACATATGTGTAAATTACCCACCAGGTTAACCTAAAAAAGTATAAGTGACTTAGTATTTCCATTGGAGTCCTTATTTATTTATTTATTTAATTTATTGATGTCTTTGCAGATAGTACATTGAGATTATGTATTTACAATAATGGATTTCAATGCAAAGAAAGCCTCTATTATGCCTAGGCATTATGGGCCGACTTAACATTATTAGCTTACTGACTACTTAACACTAAGAATTATATCATAGTTGTACAGTAGATTATTAATTATAATTAATCTAATTTATATAAGACAAAAGATATATTCATATATTCAAGAATGCTTTTGTGAAAAAAATGATTCAATTACATTCCTGTCGACAATGGATAAAAGGTTCAAAAGTAATTGTTGAAATTATGATATGGTAATACATATTAAGTATGTGAGTACTGAGTATTTAGAATTTAGTCTAGGGTGATTAAGTGACTTTTGAGAAGAGTCTTAAAATTGATTTTCAGACCAGGTTACTTTAGTATCTTCTGGTAATGAATTCCATATTTTGGGGCCCTTTATATGCATAGAGTTTTTACACAGTGTGATACGGACACGAGGTACAACAAAAAGAGATCTGTGTCTTGTGTTATGGTCATGTGTCCTGTTAAGGTTAGCAAGAAGTTTGAGTGGAGGGTTTATATTTGCATGTATTGTTGTGTGTATGTAGTAGGCACATGAATAAGTATGGATGTTCTTAATGGTGAGCAGATTTAGACTTTTGAAAATTGGTGGAGTATGCTGGCGGGAGTGGGAATTTGTTATCATTCTGACTGCTGCCTTTTGCTGGGTTATTAGAGGTCTTAGGTGATTTAATGTTGTTGATCCCCATGCACAAATTCCATATGTGAGATAAGGGTATATGAGTGAATGGTACAGTGCCAGGAGAGCTGATTGTGGAATGTAGTACCGTATCTTTGATAGTATGCCTACAGTCTTAGAGATTTTCTTGGTGATTTGTTGTATATGTGTCTGGAACTTAAGGCTACTGTCAAGGTGGATACCTAGGAATTTTCCCTCAGCAAGTCTTGTGACTGATGATCCATTTAGCATTATGTTAAATGGAACATTTGCAGCTTTGTTTCCAAACTGAATGAAATAGGTTTTATCAGTATTCAGGGTAAGCTTATTGGTCATCATCCAGGCAGATATTTTCTGCAATTCGGCATTGACAGTGTTGGCGAGTATGACTGGGTTTGGGTGGGAGAAGACGTATGTCGTGTCATCTGCAAATAACATAGGTTTGAGTAGCTGTGATGCATTCGATAGATCATTGATGTAGATGAGAAAGAGGAGTGGTCCAAGGACACTTCCTTGTGGGACTCCTACTCTGATTGGTTGGGTGGAAGATTTGCACCATTTGCATACACATATTGAATTCTGCTACTAAGGTATGACTTGAGGGAGTGGCTTCTGATACTATAGTGCCTTAGACAAACTTCTGGGGCCACACTTTTATCAATGGAAAATAGTAAATATTTAATAACAGCTCAAACACATGTCTTTCAGGTGTACATATAAAATATTAAGATACCCTTGTGCCTTGAATGTTTGTAAAGAATTACTCTATCATAACCTTTTGTAACCTTTTTTCCCGTGACTGAACTAATGTCCATGCTCCTGTACTATTGCCATCATCTATTTTGGCCAAATAATAATAATAATTTATCCAGAACTGACTACCAGTATAGTCTACCAACTCAATATATTTATTTTTGGCTTATGTAATGTCATTCAGCTCTGCACAAATAATGTATCATGTGGAAATAAATTTTGAATTTGAATTTGAAAATGTATGAATCTTATTAGATTTCACGTAGTCCAAACTATACTTATGTATCTTTTATTTAATTTTAAGTGCTAATGAAAAGTTGTAGGTTTAGCATGTCTGAAATACTCTGTACAACTGATTTTTCTAAATAAGTAACTAGTAAGATCTCTTTGGAAATAGAGTTAATTTTCATTATCACTTAAAAATTAAGTTGAAAACAACTAATCACTGACCAGATATTATTATTATTATTATTATTATTATTATTATTATTATTATTATTATTATTATCAAAAAGAAGCACTAAACCACAAGGGCTATACATCTGACCAGATATTAATTCAATAAATGGATTAAAAGACATTAATTCAATAAATACATTTTCATATGAATGAGATTATGAGCTCACACAAGCAAGATACTTACTAGTTGTTGCTGTTGTCGTTGTAGGTGTTAAGATACAGTATGATATACAGGTCTCCCTCAACATTCACATTTTCAACTTTCACGGGCTTCACACATTCGCGAATTCCCAACCGCCAAATTCCCAGCCACCAAATTCCCAGCCGCCAAATTCCCAACCGCCAAATTCCCAGCCACCAAATTCCCAACCGCCAAATTCCCAGCCACCAAATTCCCAGCCGCCAAATCATAATTAAGTTTCCCGCCACCTGCGAGTCCCTACTACCCTCCCTCCGACCCTCACAACTGGCAGCCAGCCCTCCCACCACTCAGTGTGGTGAGTGTTTTGTTTGTTCATTATTTGCTATTAAACTACAGTATAAATAATGTAAACCCATTCATGACTGCATATTGGAATGGCTATTCGGACAGGTATTAGACGGTGACATCATGTGTTTACTCTTGAACACTGCAAAGAATTAAACATTTCTGTTACAGCTAATAATAACAATAGTAATAATAATAATAATAATAATAATGATATAACTGAAGAAGGAAATTGTACAAAAATACGAGGGAGTGGTTGACACATCGTCAGTTTGACTTTGTTTATGCTGGAGTGAGCATTAGTCTCCCTGCTCTTTCAAACATTTTACAATAATTCATTGTGTTTGGTGCTTGTAGATTGAGTGTGACTGGAGTGGTAGAGGCAGTGATTGAGGCAATGGTATTTAACCCTTTCAGGGTCCGTCCCGTAGATCTACGGCTTTACGTTCAGGGTCCAAACCGTAGATCTACGCCATGAGCTCAGCTCACTCTGATAAACTGCGAGTGGTACATTTGGGCCTAGATATGAGAGAATACATCTATGTGGTATGTGTGCACCACATAAAACAGATCCTGCAGCACACTGTGTATAATGAGAGAAAAAAAATGAAATCATGATTTTTCGATTAAAACAGCAAAACTTTGCAGTGTTTTTTCGTATGTTTTTTATAGTTGTATTGCGATTTCTTGGTCTCATTTGATAGAATGGAAGACATATATTACAGAAATAGAGGTGATTTTGATTGGTTTTCGCACTGGAAATGGCTTGAAACTGAGCTCAAAGTAGCAGAAATGTTAAATTTTTTGCCGATATTCAAGAGTAAACAAACGACCTCACACGTCTAATACACATCAGCTGGTGGGTCTAATATACATTCACAAATATGGTGATGATATTTATACAATTATTACAGTATTGCATAACAGTAAATCTTCTATTTTTTGGTGTGAATAAAAATTCATTATGTGAATAAAAAATCAAAATGGAATTTATTTGTAAAGCCTCAAAACATAACTAATGAACAGAGGAAATGTTAGTTTAGTGCCAGGAATGCTTACATTGTTCATTCTGGGACCCTATTTTGAAATTGGAATATTTTGAACTTTGTGTTAAATTGGCCAAATTAACAATTTCCGATCACTTTATTTTGTAGTTGAAACAGTTGACTTGGCGATTTCTTGTGCTCAATCGATAGAATAGAAGTAATACTAGTGAAACAGCTAAGAATTTGGTTGACTGGAATAATGTAATTGGCCTAAAATGGGAGTCAAAGTCGGCAAAATCGCCGATTCGAAAAATATCGCTGACACATCAAATTCGCGAGAGCATAATTTCGTCAATTTTCCACCAAATTTCGTACTTTTTGTTTTATTACCTTCACAAAAAGATTCTCTACGATTTCATAAGAAAAAATCACAATTTTTTTTTTTAAAATTCTTGGACACTGGTGCATGACTCCAGA